GTTGAGTTTCTCTCGAGTGGTGAGATTTCCTGTGTTTCATGGTCTGGGTATCGTGGCTCTCACTAACTGTAGGTACCACAGAGATGGAAACTTTGCCATTTGAGCTCGATTGCTGTCCCCTGAGCATCCTCCCATGTGGATGGGCTCTGCTCCTGATCCCTCAGCGGTGCTGGGGAGTGTGGAGCAGTTCAGAGTCCCTGCAGGAGCTCAGAGCTGACAGCAGCACTGCTGCCTGCACTGAAGAGCCATTTCCTCTTGGAGAAAAGTAAATGGTTTGAAGTCACTTTTCTGTTTCCTTTTTTAACCAAAAATTTTCAGCTTTTAAGGGAATTTGTAGCAATGCTCCTCCCATCAGAGGACAGTTTCTCACTGTGTGTTCTGTGACCTGTCAGGAAGATCAGCTTGCAGCACTGTGAGGGTGTCACAGCAGTGGTGCCTTAAGGCAGGAGCTGTAGGCAGAAGTTGTATCTCTGTTAGATCCACGGAAAATATTGGGAACACTGGACATATGTACACAGGAGAGAGTTGTGCCTGCTTTGGAGGATTTCTTTTTAACCTTCTCCCATGAAGTAAAAACATATCCCATGTGATTTCTCCATGTGCAGGAAATGATGATGTCACTGAAATTAGTGAGGACCAGCTGATATTTCCAGCCTCATCCATGCTTTGCATGACAACTTGTACAATGAGCTTTGCATGCCTGTTTTGTTGCTTGTTAGTAATTTTCAAGAAGTAACAAAACTCTCAAGTTAGGTTTTGTGGAACATTGTGCAACATGTTTGTTTATCCTGTATCTCCCCAGTCTGTTAACTTGCTCCTTTAAATTCAAATGGATACGGTGCTTTGCAGATTCTGGCATGTACCACCTAGGTAAAGTTTTTGCTTTGTTTCCACAGTTGTAACACCTGAAATGCTTGTACATGTATAAAACCTTAGTCAAGTAGTAAATTGTAATTTGTTTTTTAAGAACCACTTCTTACAGTAGTTTAACACTTGAAATTAAATGAAACTACTTTAGGCCACTAGAGTTACCCATTCATTAAATGACTTCTGGTTTTACTTGGTTTTCTTTTAGAGAATCGACTTTAAAAAAAGAAATTGATGAAGAGAGAGCATCTTTACAGAAATCCATCAATGTTACTAGTGCCTTGATCACACAAAAAGATGAGGAACTGGAAAAACTCAGGCATGAGGTAAATGAGGAATGGATGATTCCTGATTTCAGTTAAGTTGCAGCCAGAGGTTTTGTGTGCTGGCTCCTGCAGAGCTGGCTGGTCATTTTTCTTTCATGTGGCATAGTTAAACCTTGGCATCAAATCTTCAGATGCCTGTGCTGAGCCAGGTGGCTCCTGGCACGTGGTTTTGGTGGCTGTTCAGCCTTGCTTCCAGGGCCCTGGCCTTGGTGCTCTGGCTTGGTGCTGGAAGGTCCAAGTGTTGTCAAACAACTCTTCCAGATCACGGTGCTCCGCGGAGAAAACGCTTCTGCAAAAACCCTGCAGTCAGTGGTGAAGTCACTGGAGTCTGACAAACTGAAACTTGAGGAAAAGGTGAAGAACTTGGAGCAAAAACTCAAGGAAAACAACGAGCAGCCTTTAGCTGTAATGAGCCCCTCAGGTAAAGCGAGAGCCACTCCAGTGTCTGTGCCCTCAGAGCCTGTGACATCATTCCTGACCGAGCTATGGCACAAGTCACATTCTACCTTGTTTGGTCTTTTCCTTTAAAGGTGACGCTGCTACTCTGCTTCAGGAGGAAATTGCAAGAGAGAAGCAGGTATTGGATGTGCACGTGAGCATGCTGGAGCAGCAGTGGGGCTGGAGGAGAGGGGAATATTCCAAAGGCAGTCCTCACTGGGTTTTGTCAGTCAGGATTTTAATGGGCAGATTTATCTTGTAGCCCCTCAGCTCCTGAAGGGCAGTGTCAGTGACAGTAAATACTAAATCAAGTGAAATCATACTAAATCAATACTAAATCAAGTAAATCATACTGGAGAAACAAGGGAAGGTGAGGAAACAAGCAGGAAATGAGGATGGCAAATCGTGTCCTGCAGCCTGAGAGGTACAGCCCAGCAGAGCACTCACTGCTCCTTGGCATTCCCAAAGGGTTCTTGGATGTGCATGGGGAAAAGCTGTGGCCCACTGAAGCTGGTGCTTGGCATCTTGGAGAAATGGGCTCCCTGAGCTCCTGGGTACCTCTGAGCTCTGCAGTTCTTCCTAACTGCAGAACTGGACTCAGGACAAGGGTTGGCAGCAATGGAGAAGGAAGGTGCTCAGCTGGCACAGGAAGATGTGATTCAGAGTAGGACAGTCACAGTGACCTCAGGGGCCTGTGCCAAGAAATGCCTCGAAAATATGGTTAGAACAGAATCACCTTCTGCTCAGGATAAAGCCTTTGTTAATCAGGAATGTCACACACAGTGATTAAAAAATGTCCTTCCCAGTTGTGCAGCCACCAGAAGTGTCATGAATATACACTAACCACCAATCTTTTTCTGGTTTTCTGCTTCCCTGGATTCACCTGCTGATGGCAACCCTTCCTTCCCCCAGGGCGAGGTTGGTTCCACTTCTTTCCTCCCCTGTTAATTTCCCAAGTGTTCCTTGGTTTCCCTGGGGCTGGGGGAGGTGCCATCCCCCTGCCCCTCTGACTGTCCTTGTCCTTGGCTCTCCTAGATCGACTTCCTGAATTCAGTGATAGTGGATCTGCAAAGGAGAAATGAAGAACTGAACTTGAAGATACAAAGAATGTGTGAAGCAGCCCTCAATGGCAACGAAGAGGAGATAAATAACTATGACAGGTACAAATCCTGCAGGATTTGCAGTACAAATCCTTTTGTTCTGGGAACTGTTGGTGGAGCTGCTTGGCAGCTGCATGCTCCAGTCTGATCTCAGCTGTCAGGAGGGACAGACAGAGCTTTCCCTGGATTCCGTGGTTGAATCCAGCCTTCTCTTTACAGTGTGGTGTAACTGGGGGTGCAAATGGTGCTCTGTAGTTATCAGTCCCAAACACTGATGTACATGACATGTCTGTTGTATGACTTGGTGAATCTGGCCCTTTCCAAGTGCAGAAGCGTCTTTGCTCCCAAGAGGCTGTAGCTGTGTTGGGATGGGAAGAACCAATGCAGAGAAATTAACTAAAACCTATTTGATGTATCATGACTTCAGCTCTCTTAAGGGAAAAGAGAAGCTCTTCTGCATGTGTTTCTTTTAAATCTCTGTGCAAGTATTTGCACCAACAGCAGCTTGTTCAGTAAATATTAGAGTGTAGGGGTGGTGGGGGCACTGCAGGGTGGTGGAGAAGGGTTTGTTTCCTGTTTTTGGTGGAGCTCCGTGGCGTTTCCCGAGTCTCAGTAACCACGAGCTCACTGCGGGGCTGCCGTGTGACAGAGGCAGTGACTGTGCCAATGCTGCTCTTGCAGTGAGGAGGAGAGCCTGTCCAAGAAGAAGCCGCGTCTCTTCTGCGACATCTGCGGCTGCTTCGACCTGCACGACACCGAGGACTGCCCGACGCAGGCGCAGGCGCTGGAGGAGCCGCCGCACTCGGCGCACCACGGCAGCCGGCGCGAGGAGCGGCCCTACTGCGACACGTGCGAGGTGTTCGGCCACTGGACGGCCGACTGCAACGACGACGAGACCTTCTGAGCGGGGACAGCCACGACTGCCAGCGCAGGGGACGGCGACCCTCGCGCCCCTGCCCGCCCGCTCCGGAGTCCCTGCAAGCGTCGATGTTTTGATCTTCCACTAATACAGACCCCCTGTCCCTTTTTAACAAACTTCAGTGAAAGATAAATAAATGATTTAACAATGACTTTATGCTGTTTCTTCCCAGGTTCTGGGTTGTCCTGCCCTTAGCAGGAAATGCCCCTGTGCTGTTGGATCTGTTGGTGGGAAAACATGTATAGGAATGAAGCACTAGAGTTATATTAAAGCTTATTTAAATACCTTAAAATATGCTGTTAATTTTCATATTTGCACTAAACCATTTTAAGGCTGATTTTGTACATTTAGATTTTTAAGCTTTTTTTTGACACTGGACTGAGTTGAGAAATACTTCATCTTTATTTTCATTTACTCCTTTGATTGCGATGTCGCTCGGTGCCGTGAGCTCTGGGTTGTGGTTTGGTGTGAAATGTGGAAATGACGCAGGTAAGGAGCTGCTGGGGTTTTTGGAAACCTGTTTGCTGTGCACAGCTGTGCACACCTGGAACAGTTTGTGGCCCATCCCTGTTTTGCATTCTTTCAGCTTCTATATAGTGAGTGTGGTGTGTGTGTATATATGCATATATATAATAAAGTTATATTTTGGAAAAAAAAGTAGTGTTGTCTTTTCTGCATTTCCGTTCAGAGTGTGAGGGGTTCTGCATGGGGACAGGTGTGCCCAGGGGCTGCACTGTAAATCACAGGATCCATCAGCTGGAAAGAGACCTCTGAGATCACCAAATCTGGCTAAACACCACCTTGTCAGCATGACCAGGGTATACTCAGTGCCACATCCAGTCCTTACTTAAATACCTCCGGGGACAGTGACTCCACTGCCTCCCTGGGCAACATTTAACCACCCTTTCAGTGAAGATTCCTCCTCATGTCCAACCTGAACCCCTTCGGGTGCAGCTTTAGGCCATTCCCTGTTCCCTGGAGCACAGCCCGACCCTCCCGGCTGGGACTTCTGGCAGGAGTTCTGCAGAGCCAAAGGTTCCCCTGAGCCTCCTTTTCTCCAGGCTGAGCCCCTTCCCAGCTCCCTCAGCCCCTCCTGGGGCTCCAGCCCTTCCCAGCCCCGTTCCCTGCTCTGGACACGGGGCTCCAGCAGTGCCCAGCGCAGGGGGAAGCAGCTCCTGCTGCGGCTGGTCACAGTCCAGGGAGCAGCCCGGTGCCAGGGGCCACACCTGACACACATGACACACACACGATCACCCATCACACCCGATCACCCATGACCACCGGCCCCGGCCGCTCCCCGCCGTCTCTGACGCTCGCGGCCCCGCCCCGCGCTCCGTGCGGCTGCGCGGCCCCGCCCCGCGGCCGGGCGCGGTGGGGCGGCCATGGCGGCGCACCTGAGCTCGGGCCGGGTGAACCTGACGGCGCTGCGCGAGGCGGGGCGGCGCGAGCTGCGCGAGTTCCTCGACAAGTGCGCGGGCTCCAAGGTGGGCGCGGCGGGGCCGGGGCCGGGGGGTTCCGCGCGTGGCGTGGCCGGTCTGATCCCGCCGTCACTTCCCGCAGGCCATCGTGTGGGACGAGTACCTGACCGGCCCGTTCGGGCTCATCGCGCAGTACTCGCTGCTCAAGGTAAGCGCCGCGGGGGCCGGGGGCAGGCGGCCGGGCCCCGGCGCCCCCGCGCTCGGCTGACGGCCGTGCCTCCGCCCAGGAGCATGAGGTGGAGAAGATGTTCACGCTCAAGCCGGGCCGGCTGCCCCCGGCCGACGTCAAGAACATCATTTTCTTCGTCAGACCCAAGCTGGAGCTGATGGACATCATCACGGACAACGTGCTCAGGTACCGCGGGCAGGGCGGCCGTGAGGAGGGGGCAGGCGTGGCCCGAACCACCGCGTGGTTTGTTACACCTGTGCAGGGAACGAGGGCGATGTGCAGACACCAAATTGCAGCACAGCCACTCTGTGGTTTAAGTGGGGGCGTGAGACACCCTGGGCAGGGGGGCTTTACCTTGGCTGCCATGCAGAGGGTGCGTTCCTCCCTGCAAGGATTACACTCCTTCTAATTAGCTGGAACGAGTCATGCTTGGATTGCTGTGCCTTTTGGGAGCTGCAGGACAGCCACGTCCCCCTGCCCTGGTGTCAGAGCTGTGGCTGCACAAGGACACTGACGCTCCAAATCCAGGAGTCAGCAATAACCCAGTGCAGCGTTCCTGTTTTGTGTGAATCCAGTGCCCCCTGCCCGTGGTCTGTGCTGCTCCCGTGTGCAGCGAGTGACCGAGTGCCCTGCTCCTGCTGTGAATTTGCAGGGAAGACAGAGGCCGCTCTCCGCAGAGGGATTTCCACATCCTGTTCGTGCCGCGCCGCAGCCTCCTGTGCGAGCAGTGGCTGAAGGAGCAGGGCGTGCTGGGCTCCTTCATCCACCGCGAGCAGTACAGCCTGGACCTGATCCCCTTCGACGGAGACCTGCTCTCCATGGAGTCCGAGAGCGCCTTCAAGGTGCGTGCTCGCCTCGTCCTCGAGGAAAAGCAGGATGTGGTTTTGTGCTGGACGTTGCTGCTGCTGCAGCAGCTCTGCTCAGAGGGTTTGTGAGTGACCTGCACAGCAAGGAAAGGCCTTGCAGAGCAAACCTGGCCTGATCCTGAACTTGCCTCTGTGTTTTCACACTAAATGCTGAAGGAACAGTCACTACACCAAGCTGCATCCCAGTTCCTCCAGCTTCAGCTGCTGGTGTTACTGTCACAAATGAAGCATTAAAGCACTCAGTTGTCACAAGGAGCCAGCACAGTTTGTGTTCCTGCGCAGCCAGGGAGCCGTGTGATGGTTCTCACTGCACTGAGCATTAACAGCTGTCACATCCCAGCTGCATGTCCTGCATTCCCAGAGAGTTGCATCCAAGGACAGGATAGTTTAGGAGTTTGGGCCCTCAGAAGACGTGGCAGGGCTTGCATCTGTAATGAGGTGTTGAGTGTTCAGACTGGCCTAATTAGCAGGAGAAGGTCCTTCCAGTCACTTTCTTTTACTCCATCAAATTGTATTGGTGTTTGGAGTTCAAAAAATACTAGAGTCTGGTGATCAAAAAATGATTTGATGTAGTGACAGCACAGGTAATAAGGTCCATATATTCCAACAGCCATAGTTTGTCCCCAGCCTGTGTCTCCTCTGAACTGTTCACATGGACCCTGCTCTGCTGTGGAAGCATCTGTGTTGGATTGACACCTCCCATCAGAATCCCTCTTGTTCTTTAGGAGTGTTACCTGGAGAGTGACCAGACCAGTCTGTACCATGCAGCAAAGGGGCTGATGACACTGCAGGCTCTCTACGGAACCATCCCACAGATTTTTGGGAAGGGCGACTGTGCTCGGGTGAGGCTGAACTTTTATGTTGTTCTTTGGAAATGCCTTAAGGAGTGTTTGCTTAAATGCACCTCTGGGGTTTTTTTAATCCAGTCATGACACACACACACACACATCCATTTTGCTTCTCTGTGATTAACCCGTGGTTTAATTGGTATTTTTTGTGGTGAGGGAGCAGCTTGAGGTGAATGCAGTGCTTTGGCCATCACTGTCGCTGAGCTGCAGAGAGCAGCAGAGAAGGACTTTTGTTTTCTCAGTCTCATCCTGCTCTGTCCATCAGCCAGTCTGTACCTCCTGCCATCCCCTTCCTTTACAAGCACGTGCCTGCAGGGCCCAGAGGTCACATCCATCTGCTGTGGCCTGCACCCTCACCAGAGCAATGTGACTTCCTTGCAGCACGTGGCCAACATGATGATCAGGATGAAGCGGGAGTTCCCTGGCAGCCAGAATTCCATATTTCCTGTCTTTGATACCCTCCTGCTGCTGGACCGCAACGTGGACCTGCTGACCCCGCTGGCCACGCAGCTGACGTACGAGGGGCTGATCGATGAGATCTACGGCATCCAGAACAGTGAGTCCTGCAGGGAAGGGACAGCTTTCCCGTGTCCTGGCCAGGCTGCAGTGTGTTGGGTGGGTTTGTGCTTTTCTAAATGTGATGTGGGAGCAGCTCAGCTGAAATCAGTGTGGGGTTTGTTCAGTCCCAGGCTGGAGCCCATCATGTTCCACTCTGGCTCTTTTTGCCTGGGAAGGGGAGCCAAGTACAGTCCATGGTTACTGTAGGGGCACCTTCTGGCTGTTGGCTGGGTGCAGGCACAGTGACAGAAGAAGGAGTGTGTGAGTGGGAATGTTAGTGTGTGCCTTCAGCATCCATCCTGCCTGGATCACGTGTCACACTGAGGGGACAGGACAGTTTGTGAAATGCCATTTTCAGAACACAGTGCTGCTCTTCAGGGGGTAAGAAAACTGCAGGGAGGCATTTATGGGCTGTAATCCTCCTGCTGGACTGGACTGGCTGCTGGGCTGCCTCCAAGGCTCTCTGAAAGCAGGGCAGCTGGCACTTGGGTTCTGATGTTTGTGTAGGTTCCTGGCTGAGTGCAGGGGGACTCTCCTTCATTAACACACAGGCACTGAGTGGTTTGAGTGTTAATATTGCTTTGCTACTCAGAACTGTTTCCAGCCCAGGGGACACATTTCCACCGCCTGCTGATCTTAACTTCTGCTGATGAAGTTCCAGTCCTTACAAAGGTTATTTCTCTTCATTTGGTAGCTTATGTGAAACTCCCTCCTGAGAAGTTTGCCCCAAAGAAGCAGGGTGAGGGTGGGAAAGATCTCCCCACAGAACCCAAGAAGCTCCAGCTGAACTCTGCAGAAGAGCTTTATGCCGAAATCCGAGACAAGAACTTCAACGCTGTGGGGTCAGTGCTGAGCAAGAAAGCCAAGATCATCTCAGCAGCCTTTGAGGTGAGGCCTGTGTCCATCAGTGCACCAGATAATTCACAGTCTGTGTTCAGCAGGGCTGGGACTGGCAGCTCAAGCTGCTCCCACAATGATCCCCCACCCAGAGAAAAACCAGGAAGCTGTTCCAGTCTGTTCCCCTGCCCTGGGATGGACTGTTCCGAGTGGTGTTGGTCAAATCACCTTTTAAGGAGCCTGTAGTAATGTGGTTCCTCATTTCTCCCACACCTCTCTTCTGGGGCTTTCCCTCTGCTCAGAGCTTGCCTAATCCAGGCTTGTGCTGTGTGAGCCCATAGATCCCACAACAGGAATTGCTCTCTTCAGTCTGCAAGAGTTGGGTACTACTTCCCTCTGCAAGAAGCCAAAGGTGATTTTTAGTGTGCTGATCAATTCCACTTGGCTGCTCCTGGTACTTGTTCACTCAAAGGTGCTTTTCCCTTCAGGATGCAGAGAAAAAGCTTTAAGCAATAGAACACCAGAATGTGCTTTCAGAGTATTATGGCTGGCATCAAAAACAACAGAAATGTGCAAAAGGCAGTTGTCATGCAGGAGGTTTGAACTGTAAATTCATGCTTGTCTCAGACAAATCTGGAGAGCTGTGTGGGACACGTTTGTGGTTTTGTTGAAAACATGCTGTTGATGATTCATAAACTGAGATCCCATATCTCATTTTTCTGACCTCATGGTGATTCTCAAGAGAACTTGTTCACTCTTTGATTGTATTTCCTTAGGGCTATTTTTTAGCCTCTTAACCTGCCTCATCTAAAATGAGGTAGTGGTACCTTAACTGAAACACTGAGTGCTCAGCCTCATTGCCCAGTGCAGCTCTGCTTCTGCACTATTAGTGCTGGAGGTGCTAAAGATGGATTGTTCATACTGCTTGTTAAAAAGGGAGAATTCTAAGAAATTGTCAGCAGTAATAGGTGATAATGAAACAGCAGCATATTGGCAGCAGAGGACTTCTTCAGTCACAGGCTCCATCATGACTCTCCTGCCTGCACTTGCCCATTTAAATCCTTCACATATGAGTCAAATTATTACTATTTTTATTCCAAGTTGCAGCAAGAGGCAAGTAGCACAAATGCAGTGCAGACCTCTTGAGCTGAACTCTGTTTGCATGGTGCTTCAGCACGTCCTGCCTCAAAACCTGGCATGTTGTTGGCACCAAGTAGAGTGAATGGCAGACCTTGCTAGCCCAGTTCCTCAGCACCTTTCACTCCTGCTCCAAGGGCAGATGTTCCCCAGCTCTGACAGCATTGGCCTAGAGCTCCCTGTCAGCCAGCAAAGTAATTCCTCTTGGTGTGAAAAAGGGAGTTTTTCCTGGTAGGGAAATTGAGGAGCAGCTAGTGATGGCTGGAGTCAGACAAATGTGGATAAAATGATTTACAACACTGGGATAATGGAAAATAACAGTCTAATGATGCTGCTGTGTTTATGTGCTGCCTCTCCCCATGATCCAAGTGCTGTTACAGGTAATGCTGTGCCTTCAGTGCAAGCATCTTTGTCTGAAAGGCTGCGTAGCTCTAACTCCCTACAGGGAGTGCAATAATAATTCTTCATGATAAAATGATCTGTTTGGTGTTACTAACATGAACAAGGCCTAACCCAAGTGATGGATTTCTACAGGAAAGGCACCATGCCAAGACTGTTGGAGAGATTAAGCAGTTTGTGTCCCAGCTGCCTCACATGCAGGCGGCGAGGAGCTCGCTGGCAAACCACACCTCCATCGCAGAGCTCATCAAAGACATCACCAGTGAGTAGGAACCACGTAAATCCAGCAGGATGCCAGGTAACCTGGTGGACATCACTCAGCCTGGCAAAAACTGGCTTTGCTCCATCCAGTGCATCTCTGCTGAAACATTAATTGTAAAGTATAAGCTGTCTGTTGCTCTTGTATTGATTTTTATTCTTTTCCCAAAGCATCTGAAGATTTCTTTGATAATTTAACAGTGGAGCAAGAGTTCATGTCCGGAATAGACACAGACAAGGTAAGCAGATAATGGCCACTGTTACATCTTCAAGAAACTTTTTTTTTCCCATTTGTGGTTTTTTTTTTTGTTTTGGTTTGGTTTGGTTTTTTTGAGAGAGGAAACATCTGATCTAGATGATGTCCAGTGAAATGGATCTCTGAGTTACCTGTCATTGCCTGTGCACAGCTGGGGTGCTTGACCTGTCCAGGGGCACCCCATGCTCTGAGGGATCAGTGGAACATAGAAGATGGTTAATAAGAATTTTTCAGTGCAAAGTTTGCTACTGAGTGAGGGACTGCTCTAGGGAGAGCCCAGATGGAACCAGAGCTGGGTCACTGTTTTGCAGATGGTCCTGAGCTGCCTGGAGAGCAGCTGCTGCTCTTTCTTGCTCTTTTGGAGAACCAGGCAAACCAGATTTTTCTTTCCAGGTCTGATGGGCACTTTAACAATTCTTGAAATAATTGCTTATGTATTTTCTTTAATAGGTTAACAATTACATTGAAGACTGCATAGCTCAGAAACATCCATTAATCAAGATCTTGCGTCTCGTGTGCTTGCAATCCGTGTGCAATAGTGGGCTGAAGCAGAAGGTTCTGGACCATTACAAAAGGGAGATTATCCAGGTTAGCCTCTAACATTTGGAGGAATAAATTCCTGAGAAAATCCATGTCAAATCTTTAGCTCTACACTTCAATTCTAGACAGACACATCTTACACCTGAATAATGTGCACAGAGGGAGCACTGGGTTTCTGTTTGGGCAGATCCTTGGGAGGTGCTTTTGTTACAACATGCAGAAACAGAGGCTTATATCACTTTTTACTAATATTATTTAAACACTCTAAATTGGATATACTCTACAGAGATCTTAACCAAAAATCTTTTTTTAAACAAACATATTTTTTAAACAAACATATTTGCCTTTTTTTTTTTTCCTTTCTGTTTTAAACACTGGTCATGGGTTATTGCCATGCTATTAAAGGTGATTTCTTCATATTACAGACTTATGGCTATGAACATATATTGACCTTAAACAACTTGGAAAAGGCTGGACTCCTGAAACCCCAGACAGGTGGCAGGAACAACTACCCGACGATCAGGAAAACGCTGCGCCTGTGGATGGATGATGTTAATGAGCAGGTAAAGGGGCGCCTCAGCAGCACACATTACCTCTAACTACAGAATTATGTGCAGCAGGAAAACCTTCTTTTTTATTCGATGTTACTGATTTCTTTGAGGCTGTTTTGCAGCATGAGGTGGCACTGACGTGCTGTCCCCTCCCTGTCTCTGTGCCCCCAGAACCCCAATGACATCTCGTACGTGTACAGCGGCTACGCCCCGCTGAGCGTGCGCCTGGCCCAGCTGCTGGCCCGGCCGGGCTGGCGCAGCATCGAGGAGGTTCTGAAGATGCTGCCAGGGCCCCATTTCGAGGAGAGGCAGCAGCTCCCTACTGGCCTGCAGAAAAAGCGTAAGTTTGGGTTTGTTTTCCCATGGTGTACAGGAAAATATGTCTGTGTGAGTAGGGAGTGAGGCAAACTGAAGTCAGGGCAGGCAGAGGCAGAGTCTGGCATCCCCCTGTCCCACAGCAGTGTCAGATTGACCTAATCCTCCTTTGACAAAGGGTTTAACTTCTCATCAGAGTACAAAAATAAACCCTAAACTTACACTGTGATTTTAATAAGTAATGTTATGTGAAGGAGGGTCAGCATCACTCTCAAACAGAAACACATCCTGTAGCAACTCCAGAGCTGGGAGCAGACCGTGGACTTCTGTGTCCCAGCCTCTAATTCAGGTCATTTGAGTTTGACTGACAGTTGATGCAGAGGAGCTGTAAAAATCAAACCAAGCCAACCTGGACCTTTTTTGTGAACGCACAGGTCAGCAGGGTGAGAACAGAGTGACCCTGGTGTTCTTCCTGGGCGGGGTCACGTACGCAGAAATCGCCGCGCTGAGGTTCCTGTCCCAGATGGAGGATGGAGGCACAGAGTACATCATTGCCACTACAAAACTCATCAACGGGACAACCTGGATCAAATCCTTGATGGAGAAACTGGAGCCTGCCCCGTTCTAGGGTGTGTGGTGAGAGACAGGAAATGTGAGAGGCCCTGTGTAACACAGGAATGTCAGCTGGCACAGCTGCTCCATCAGAGAAACACGGCAGTGAAGGAAGCTCTCCTGGGACCAGCTCGTGAGCAGTTGCCCTCATCCCTTCTGCACTTGTGTTCCAGCTGGCTGTGGAACTTCCAAGTAGACAAGCAGGGTTGGAAGGCACTAATGATAAATAGTGGGAAAGAGAGAGATCCCTGCTCATGGTCTGACCTGGCAGCCGAGGGCTGGGGCAGCGGGAATGGGCCCTGGTCCTTCTCTTTGGCAAATTGCTGCTTTTTTTCTTTCAGTTGAGCTTTGGTGGGAGATGTGATTTCTGCTTTTTACCCTCCTAAAGTGCTGAGGAGGCAGGATGTTCTCTATTCCTGACTTCATACCAGTATTCCCAGACTTTGTCTCTCTCTGGTGCCTGATACATTCCATGGATGCATTGGATGTGTCAGTCAGAGATCTGTACACAGCTATACCTGTGATCCTTGAGCCTTTTACTTCACTTGTCCCCTGAAGGGATTGCTGTGAGGTGACTTCTTTGTCCTAGGTACACCCACCTGACTCTGGAAAGCTCCTCCAGAGTATGAATGACATCAGTGTGTCCTGAGTTTATGGTTGAAGACACACAAACACTCCCTGTGTGGGGGCCAAAAATAGCAAGAGCAGGGACCCAGTAAACAGTGGGTTTTAAACAGACACTTTTTTCACCCCCTGTTCAGGTTATAAACTGGTACTTGCTGTCACAAGCTGTTGTAGAGCTCAAACTTGTAAAATGGAATTTTCCATGGGCTTGGTGCCTGGGCCCTGGGCATGCAAGAGGCAGCTCCTGGCTGCTCAGGGAAGGCAGAGCAAGGTCCTTGGTGGTGCCTGGGCTGGGCTGGGCACTGTCAGTGTCCTCACAGCCACTGGGGACTCTTCCACACTGCAGTTCACTCTTAAACACAACTAATAAAAGGCCCACTCCTCACCTTAAATCACTGTCTTAGCAAACATTTCTGCCTTAGTTATCATGTATAATATGTCCCAATAAATCCCTCAAATTTTCCAAGTTGTCACAGTTGTGAATGTGGGTTTTGGTCTGCTTTATTTTCTAAGACTGAAGTCTGCCAAGTCAGACCCTCCATGGAGCCCCTCTATCTGTTTAACTCCAGCTGACTTATTAAATAAAATAAAGATGTATTTAATCTTTTTTTTTTGGAAGTGTTTGCACTCTCTCTCTCTCTCTCTCTAGAATACAAAAATAAAATAAAACCCTGCACTGTGGTAGCTGTATCCTTGTCTCCCTGTCCCAGGATAACTGGATAACTGAATTACTTAAATTGAAACTATTTTTCTAACACCCAGGTGTTATTTAATGAAGGCTCATGTAAAATTTAATTCTGTTCTGCCACCTGTAATACTACATTAGAAGTGGAATTTCTGAACTTTTGAAGAAAAATACAATTTCAATCACCGGAGACTTTCTGTTTCAGGTGGGGAGGCAACTGGTAGACAGACTTAACAAAAAACATGCTGCAACTTCAGTGATGCAAGAAGAGCAAACATGGATTGTTTGCTCTGCAAGTTCCATTTAAAGTAGCTAATTTCTGAGTATTTAAAAGGAAAACTGAATTAGGTTTGGATCAAAAATTAGATGTTACTGTGCAGAGAAAAACAAGAAATTTACTCAGACCAACGGTGTGTCCTTGGGTTGGCCTTGAAGTGTCTCTGTAGTATCACAATTTCCAGATTATTTTTTAATTAAATTTTAATAGTTGAACTAATCCCAAGGAAATACTGACCAGGCTGGTTTCTGAGCTACACCACAGGTGAATAAAGAAAAACACAGAGTTTCTCATCTTTCCCCTGGCCAGCAATCAGTAACACTACAGGCAAAACTTTTTTTGGTAAAGAGTTTACACCAGACACTTGGTAAACACTGAATTCATCACCAACATTGCAGCCTATTTTTTTGCAGCCTACACTAGAACTGTGTAACCCCTCCACCTAGACAAAGCCTCTTCCTGGAACTATTCAACAACAAAATAAAAGCCATCCTGACGCTGATCAATTCCCTGGAGGAGCAATTACTATTTAACAGGCTTCCTGAGCAGCTGATGATGTTCTGCTTCTGTCCAAGGCCCTGCTGACCATGTGGGTAATAATTTGATAACAAGACAACCTAATTAAATTAAGGGACCATTTTCTACATCATAATATCTTTGTAGGTAAGAGATTTGATTTGCAGTACATCATCTTCCTTCTCTGCTGTCTACATTACTCCAAAAAAAAAAAGAAAATATTACCCAACCTCTACCCCAAGACTTTCACTTTTCATACATTATCAGAAGCAGTTTGCTAAGAATAAACATAGAGCCTGGCTCTCCTCCCCTCACTGCAAAGGAGCTGCATCATTTGAGCCCTGAAATGTTGGGATAACTCCTTGGGAAGGAGGGTAAGGGTGACACTAAGCAGTGACCTGGGGACCGTGCAGGGATTAGGCTGCCTTCAGCCCTCACTGAGTTTTGGTAAATATCCTGGCTCAGCCTGCACAGTCCCACCCTGGGGATGAGCCCCAGCTGTGTGTGAGCATCCTCCTGCGGAGTGGCTCACAGAGCACAGGGTGCTCAGGGAACAGAGCAAGAGGCACTGCAGCCTTTGAGATAACAGAATAAAACATGTAAGATGACACAAGGTTTTGTTAGAGGCAAACCCCCACATCTCAACAAATGCAGGTTTTGGTCTGGTGACTCCAAGCCCTGGCACTGGAACCCTGGAAGTGCTGTTGCCAAAAGCCCCCAGGGGAAGGGGAGTGTTTGGCTGCTCCGAGCACCACGGCGCTGTCGGATCATAACCGGTGCTGACCACACCTAGAGCTCAGTCCTCGTGTGGGCTGCACACACACACACACACACACACACACACACACACACACACACACTCTGCTCCTGGATCACAGCGGGATCAGCCTACGGCACAAACCCCTGCAAGAGGGACAGCTGCAGAGCAAAACCAGGGAGAAACACGAACTTGCCGAAGCAGAGCCCGTCATCTGCCTGGGTAAGCAGTTTATTTTTCTATCAGCATCTTTCTAGATAACCAGAAATCTCGCACAGCCTATGGACAGAAATCTGTAAGGCTCTGAACAACAGAGAAACCATAGCTGGTTTAAAAATGCTGTAACTCCTGTACTGTATACATGTGCCTGAGCTTGGAATGGAATGGCTGAACTTGTTAAACAACACCAAAAAGTGAATTCCTTATCACAAGAGCTCTTTAGAAAACATTCCAGGCAGCAGGACAGGAATTCAGTTTAGTTTAGCTGGCTTTAGGCTGTTCAGAAGAAAAATAATCCTTCTGGGTTGGTTTTTATCCTAAGTCTGATTTTAAACTCCCGTCCGTGCTTGACCAGGAGCGTCAATATTGTTGATCGGGCACAGTCGCGATGGAAATTTAAAAGAACACGTAAATTGAAGAGACAACAGAATTTTTTAGGTGGGTTTTCACAGCTTCAAATCTAAGAAGCCAGTGACTTTAGGGGAGAAGTTCAGATTTCATTTAAACTAAACAAATGAGCAATCCCTTCCAAAGCAATGCGTACATATGACTATACAATGCTGCTAGAAGATGAATTCTAAGGCATCTTATCCCACGTCTCCTGTTCACGGTTATTTTTAATGCAAGATATAAATATTTGCCTGTACGAACTTGTATTTAAGCCTCAGTTTTCGTCATTCCTAAACAAAAGGCTCAGTTTGTGCCAGTACCTCCATTAGATGCAATTATAGAATTAAATATTAATGGTGGCTTCCTTGGAGGAATTGACCACTTTGATCAGAACAGGCTGTTGGTAATGCACCATCAGCGGCCGCTCTGATCCTGACGCTTCCTGGACGCACAGCCCCAGGGGAGAGATTCCAGGAGCCAGCTGGACTCTGTAACACCCCCCAGCCTCACCCCCATGGCCGTGCCCACTGCCTGCGTCTGTATTTCCATCTGCTTCCTCACCAGTCCTGATCTGGAGACTTTGATCAGATCCCAAACTCTCTTTCAGCACCTCGGTAGGGCTCTGAACAGGCCCACGCCAGCCACTAACAAGCTTCCAGGTGGCCATCAATCCCCCAGCCCACAGGATTTCTCCCCACGTCAGGGTGGTGCCCCTGCTGTGAAGAAGCCTCACCTTGTTCCTCTGCTTCCAGGCCAGGGAGGAGTTGGGAGCCGGGAGAGCCATGCCAGACTCCTTTGCCATCCACTTCCTCAAGGTGCTGCGGGAGCTGCTGGCCTTCGTGCTGTTCAGCTACACCGTGCTGCTCGGGGCGCTGCTGCTGGCCGGCTGGACCACCTACTTCCTGGTGCTCAAATGAGGGCTCTGCCCCCGCTCCTGCTCCCTCGGCCTTTCCAGAGGCACGCGGCTCCGGGGCGCAGCTCCGCACACGGGATGGAGGCGCCTTCCCCCTGCGCCGAACCCGCGAGAGTTCTGTGCTCTTGCTGCCTCCCCTCAGTCTTACTCTCCTGTGTAAAAACAATAAAGGTTAAAAGAGAAAAGGTATCCCCGTGCATGCACTTTACAGATCCCTGCGGCTCTCGCAGATTCTTTGTGTCTCCTGGACTCTGAACTATTTAAAAGCCTCCCAGCAGTTTTCTCCTGAGATTCCCACCCTGCCGAGCCCAGCACAGGGGATGGCAGGGATGCAACACCACTCCAACATCTCAACAAACAAGTCCTGCCTTGTCCTGCTCTGCCTCATTAAGGGTGTGAAGGCAGACACGCTGAAATTACTTGTAATTTGTTTTAGAAGTCCTGGAAAAAGACATTTCAAATCAGCACAAGGTTCCCCTCTCCCTACGGTTTTATCAGGTACAGCGTTGTTATCTGGCACTCTCAGGTGTGCCAGGCTCTGGAACAAGTGTTTAAAGCATGGAGTTAGATGAAAAATGTGTGATACAGCACTGCCTCAGTAAAGTAACCTGTGCTGAGTCTCTGAAAACAGGAGAGAGAAGAGGAACTCTTGCTATAACTAAAAAGAATAGATTTAATTGATTAAGGTCATTTTGTGTGGAATAGCACAGGAAACCTTTGGTGGAGAAGGTGGAGATTATCACTAGCATGGAACTACCCAAAATCAAAGCAGCAGCATGTACTTTAGAACAATAAAGATGAATTAAACCAGGGCCGTGAGGAGCACTGGTGTCTCGGAGTTGGTGGTCATGATGGAATTCCCTTTGATCCAATGGAGCTGATTTCAACTCAGATGTGAAGGGTTTGTTTGTCAGTTTCTTCCTTGTCTTGGGGGTTCTGCCCAATGTCCTCATGGCCCAAAGTTCCACATTCCTTCTGTCCTTCTTCCCAAGCTTTGTTCACCTTTCCCAAATCTAGTATCACTAAAAGACACCAAGCCCTAAACCTTATCAAGGGAATTCCACCACCAAGGTATTTGGTTTTCTAACACCCCGACATCAGTAAAAACTTGTGGGCTTATCTGTTTCACATATTAAATATTCTTATCCAGTTTGAAAGCTACAAAACCAAACACCAAAGAACAGCCCGTTAAGAGGATTTTTACACATTCCACATTTTGCAATAGTTAGACAAGACCCTGTTTCATACTCTCCTTCTCATTCCCAGCAGCTGGGCAAATTGTTGCCTATTTCTGACCCTTGCGATGTTGGGCATCCCGGCGAAATACGGAGGAGGTGTCAGGGGTGGGCAAATTGTTGCCTATTTCTGACCCTTGCGATGTTGGGCATCCCGGCGAAACACGGAGGAGGTGTCAGGGGTGCTCCAAAGGGCCGTGACGGGGGACATCCCTGGGGACAGCCCCGAGGACATCCCTGGGGACACAGCTGGAGACACACCTGGGGACAGCCCCGAGGACATCCCTGGGGACACACCTGGAGACAGCCCCGAGGACAGCCCCGAGGACATCCCTGGGGACACCCCTGGGGACAGCCCCGAGGACATCCCTGGGGACACACCTGGGGACAGCCCCGAGGACATCCCTGGGGACACACCTGGGGACAGCCCCGAGGACATCCCTGGGGACAGCCCTGGGGACAGCCCCGAGGACATCCCTGGGGACACACCTGGGGACCTCTCCCGGTCGCTCCCCTCACGTTCCCGCCGCTGCCCTCACGGCCCGGCGCGCGCCCCCGCTGCACGCGCCGGCGCTCTGCGCACGCGCCGCGCTCGGACCCCGCCCCCGCAGGTGAGCGGGTGTGACGTCACTTCCCGCGCGCCGGGCGGGCCAAGATGGCGGCGGGCGGGCGGTGGCTGCGGAGCTGCTGCTCCGTGCTCAGGTACCCGGCGGGCCGGGGGGAGAGGCTGAGGGGGACACACGCTGCCCGCACCGCGCTACCCACCTGCAGGCTGTGGGCTAAAGAGTACACGGCATAAAAGAAGGAAAATCCGCCGGTTGTTTTCATTAAATTGCTGTAGAACAACAAAAAAGACTCTCATTGCTCTGTGCTTCTGTTTTTCTGCTCGAGTATTTCTGTGATAGACCCTGACCCCAGGGCATTTGCACAGCTTGGGTTATAAATAAAACTGGCCACAGAGACCCAAGTGTAACAAACCCGTCACATTTCTCACCTGCATGTACCACACGCCACTTTTGAGCATGTTTTTTAACCTCTTTTCCAGTATTGTTGACTATCAGCAGTGTGCCCATGCCAGCTAACACACATTTTGTCTCTAGAAGTATTGATACTGCACTAGTTACTGTGCTTGCCTTTTCTTGCACTAGCGATTAAACAATAATACGAAATTTGAAACAAACTGTTGTCACACAGCTGCATCACAGGAGCCTGGCATAGACAAGACCCCCTCGAACAGCTTCTGGGTGTTCTCCTCCTCGTTGATCCCTGTTTCCCACCCCACACTGGGACGTTTCTGCTGCTAAACTTTGCCTCTTGCTTTTCCAGGCGCAGCTTCCCAGTCCTGGCCGGCGTCCGGCAGCGAGGCCTCGTGGGCAGGAGCGGGCAGTGGCACCAGGCCGTGGGGCTGGGGGTGGCCCTGTGCGCTGTCCCCGTCGTGGAGGTACCCCCAGCACCCCCTCCTTGCGCCAGTTTAACACCCAAACCCACCTGCTCGTCCTGGTTGCCCCCAGGATTGCATCCTCAGGGAGAGCTTGGCCGTGCAGCCTCGCAGTGGGGCTGTTCCTCACCCTCGTGTTGGAGTGGTGTCCGTGGGGAGGGCGATGGCGAGGTCACACAGGGTCACGCAGGGTCACACGGGTGTCTTGTGTTGCAGAAGCAGAGCTCGGGGTCCCTGAGCAACGATGCCCTGATCAGAAGAGCCGTGTCCCTGGTGACAGACAGCACGGCCACGCTGCTGTCCCAGACCACGTACGCGCTGATCGAGGCGCTCACCGAGTACACCAAGGTGAGCCCGGGGCCTCACGCCTGGCACCACCCACTGCTGGCAGTGCCAGCTGCTCTGCCACTAGCTACACCTCTTAAACAACACTCAAAATGGGCTTTTGCAAAATTAATTTAACCCAAGGGGTGAGGGGAGTTGAAGATGTCAGGTCCCTCGGGAGCCGTGGGGTCACTGTTCTACAGCAAATGTGGAAGTTATTTTTAGCTTTGTTAAACTGTTGCTTTTGGGGTAAAATTACTCAGCCTCAGAATGGTTTGGGTTGGAAAGATCTTAAAGCCCATGCAGTCCCATGAGCAGGGACACCTTTCACTGTCCCAGGTTGCTCTAAGCCCCGTCCAGCCTGGCCTTGGACACTCCAGGGATTGGGCAGCCTGTGCCAGGGCCTCACCACCCTCACAGCCAAGAATTTTTCCCTAACATCCCATCCAACCCTGCCCTCTGTCAGCGTGAATCCATTCCCCTTGTCCTGTCATTCCATGCTCTTGTTAAAAGTCCCTTTTGTAACTTAGGCAAAATGACCCTGGAACTCAGAACTGGGGCTGAAGAAACTCATAACAGTTGTTTATATTACCTGTGTACTGAGCTCTCTCTTCTTGGGCATTTTATTGCCCTTCTCAGCCTTGCTAAGGCCATGAACTGAGTTCCATCAGAAGAATGGCATGAGCCATACTTAAATCTGAAACAAGAAGACACAGTTTTAATTTTGCAAATAAAGCGCTAATTTGAGTAAAGTATTTGCATTCCAGTTTACATCCTTGTCAGGACATCAAGTGTATGAAGAGTAATTTTGCTAATTAACACTAGGTAACACTGAGACAACACCAGAGCTGTGCAAGCTGTTGTGGTAACTGTGCAAAATTATTCTTTCACAGGCAGTTTATACCCTGGTGTCTCTCTACAAGCAATACTCAAATCTCCTTGGGAAGATGAACTCGGAAGAGGTGGATGCAGTCTGGCAGGTGGTCATAGGAGCCAGAGTGGATGTGAGCAAACAAACCTCCCTCACCATCTGCCTCTGCAGCCCTGCTCTGCACAGCTCAGGAGAGCTCTCAGTGTGTCACACCTTGTTGGTTCTTTCTCCCAGATGACCACCAAGCAGCAGGAGTACCGCAGGCTGGAATCCAGCTGGATGACGGCGCTGCGGCTGTCGGAGATGGCAGCAGAGGCCGCGTATCAGTCAGGTGAGCAGCAGCACTGAGCCTCTGCCCCTCGTCCCTCTCTCAGCACAGTTCAGACACACAGTGTACACCCAGTTAGCACCACAACTGACAGCTGGTGCCTGGTTTTCAGAGGTGCTGAGCACGTACATTCTGGTTTTGGCTGCGAGTCTGTAGGTGTGTTCTGAGAGCTAAGCCTGGAAACTTCACTTGTGGTTTAGGTCAAGACTAACCGTGGCCAAAAATGTCTGAGGGAAGAGTTCAGTTCTTTTTAAATGCAAGGCTCAAAGACAGTCCTGGGAGCCACAGAACCAAGGCTGCCTATGAATCCAGGAGGATTTTCCAGCTGGATTTAGTTATATTAAAAAAGGAAAATGTACACTAATTTTGGTATTTTCTCCCTGGAGATATTTGAGAGCTCTGAGACTGAGTTATGGACTGGTTTGTGGCAAATGGGCAAAGTTACTGAAGGGAGGGAAGGCAGTGAATATACTGAGACCCTAATTCTGTAAGTGCCTGGAGAAGACCCAGAAATTTGTGGGAGCATGGGAGGAGAATGGTGGGAATTCAACAGTGCCACAGGTATTCCCACTGCTGTAGGTGCCAGGATGGGGCAAGGACTGAAAGGTTCTAGCACACAGGGACTGGGCTGGGTTTAGCTCTTAAACCCACTGGCACAAGGTGATCACTCCTGTCCAGCTCCAGCTGTATCCCACTGGGATGCGAGAATTCAAGGGAGCGGTGACACCTCAAAGCAGACAAAAGGCTTGAGGTAAATGAACAGTATTGAGCATTAATACAGCCCAAGAGCCCTCACAACACAGCAAAGCAGATGATAATCCCATCCATTTCCTTAGCTGAAGGTTTGCCCAGTGCTCCTGGAACCCAGAGTGTCAATCCTTCCCTGCAGGTGCAGACCAGGCCTCGGTGACAGCCCGCAGCCACATCCAGGTGCTGAAGTCCCAGGTGCAGGAGGTGAGGCTGCTGTCCCAGAAAGCAGAGACCAAATTAGCTGAAGCTCAGACAGACGAGCTCATCAAAGCCCGAGGAGAGGACTCATTGCCACAGGGTGTTTTAGAAAACACAGATGATGACCCTTACCTTCGGGAGGACTGAACAGAACTGAACTCTCAGGGTCAGTCACAAATGGAACAGTCCCAAGCTCTTAAGTGTGGGATAGTGTAAAACTGCTGAAATAAGCCTGTGATTCCATTTTTTTTCCCCCAAAAAGGATTGCTTTACAAATCAAGTATTTGGAAGGCCTCAGTTTTGTTTGTAACTTACCTTGTTTGTAATACTTTTGGATTCATTTATTTAAATGTTTATCTATGCAAATGTGAAGACTGTTATCAAGGATGGCCTGGTGGTAATTGTGTCTCTGCTTGGAGGGTCCTGCTGCTCCCTTAGTGTGTTTGTGGGATCAGACAGAGAAGTGTATTTAAAAATCCTTGGTTTTAACCTGTGAGGTAAATTATGTCTGTGATATGCCTTTATTAAACTGTGCAAAAGCAGCTCATTGTGGGTGTGTCCCTTTGGTGAAGAGATTAGGCCCTGCTTTCTATTTGAATTTAAAAGTTTTTAACCTCTGGGTTGGCAGCTGCACCAAATTACACTGAGCTGCAGTCAGGGGAAATATTTGCTCTGGAGCTGAGAACTTCCCATGGAGTCACCCAGGCTCTTGGTGCAGTTTTGTTCAGCACAGCAACTTATTTCACCCAGGATCACCTCTGGGGGAGGTTCCCCAGGAAGCAATGGGGAGGTTTGATTTTCAGTATATTGTAGTTATAAACAAAATTGTTTTGGCAGCTGCTGTGTGCTGTTCTACAAAGCACTGAGCAAAAGAGTTTTACATATTTGAATGCTTCCCAATGCAAGTTTCAGGAAATAATTATTTCTTTTGCAAGCTTAATGTTTCACTGCAGGTTTCAAAACCACGGGTGTCTTTCACTGCTCATTTCCTAACTTGACAGCTGGTGTGAAATTTGCTTTGTAGAACAGCATCCACTTCAACTTTATCACCCTTGATTGAATCCCCATCTGCCAGTTTGTGTAAGAAAATACAAATTAATCAAAGGTTTTTCACCACAGATTAGCATCTGATGTATCAGTGTCAAGGTTGGTGTTACTAAATTGAGTTGTACCGACCAGGAATTTTCTTACCTGCAGCGAAGAGGTGTCTCATTTTGGCTGCCTTTGGAACAAATGCAATCTCAGGTGCACAGCACTGTTCATTTATAGATTAAGTAGTAAAAAGAAAATTTAACAAACCCTCTTTCCTTTCTCCTCACTGGGTGCTGCTGTATCCAAGGAGGATGGCACAGTCTGGAATTCAGCTCGCAGGGAGCTGCCCATGTCTGCTGTGCTAAACACAGCTCTGGGCTGGAGCATTAGGGAAAAAAAAACCCTGTGATGAGAGGATTACTTGGGTGGTGGCACAGCTGAGCCCTCAGGAGCCAAATACAGCCGCAGATCAACCTCTAACCACAACTGCTCTACTTTGGTACCTTTGCAGTTGAAGAACAACTGCCAAGCCCCTGACCTGAGTGAACAAACAAGTTGTGTATCTTTCAGGATGCCACAGTAACTCTACTCAGATGTTTGCATGGCACTGCCAGAAACCTGCAAAGCCAGGAAAGTCCCTCTTCCCCTTTCAGGGCCTGCTCCCAGCCCTGCTGTGACCCCACTTCTTGTTTCACTGCACGTACTGCGCTTCCTGCCCGAGAGCCGTTCCACACACATCCAGCCCGACGTGACTGGGACCAACCAGTCAGGCCAGCCAAGTCAAAGTGGGGGTGAGGAGCACCAACCACCCCAAAACAGGGCAGAAAGGAGTCCTTCACCTTTGTCAGGAAGTGAGAGCTGCCAGTTGGGAGTTAGCCCACACACCTAAGCCCACAACAGACATGACATCATGCTCTGTGCTCCTGAGTTTGCACTGGGAATCATGGAGTGGGTCACAGAAGTGCTGGCACAGCAGCTCACAGGGCACCACAGGGCCCACTCTGTGCAGCCTCCTTTCCAGGACCAGCAGCAGTGCCCAGAGAGTTGTGCCCAGAACCTGGGGTTTGCTGCTGATACTTGGCCTTGTTTACAAAGCCAACACACCTAAAACTACACACAGGCACTGTCTCAGCTCCAGTTAATGCAACCCTGTTGGAACTGCAGCCAGAAAACACAGTAACAACTTGCACAAGACCACCCTGAGGATGGACAGCCACCAATTCTTTGAGACAAACCCTACTCACACCTGGCACAGAAGCAGCTCCTGTGAGGTGGCACCTTTGCCCCAAGAGCCTGGGTCAGCCCTGGGGATCAGCCAGAGCTACTCCAGGTGCTCCAGAGGGCCAAGGGAGCCCATCCTACCAGCAGTCCCTCACCATCCCACTGAGAGCTCCCACACCTCTGCTCTCAGGGTGTCCCTGTCTACAGGACAAGCAGGAGCCTCCTGGCAGCACTTCCTGGGCACTTCTGAAAGCTCCAGCTCCCATCTGGTGGGGGATGGATGCTGGGCAGCTGGCACTACAGACAGCAATTACAACAGCACAGCACAAAGGACTCTGCTTGCTCTAATCACACACTTCCTCTTTACTCATTTGCTTGTTTTTTCCCCTAAGGCTTCCAGGCTGCTTCCTGCTCATCCACAGCTCCTGCTCTAGCAGCAAGATACTGATAAGCTTCACAAAAGAATCACCAAAACTTAGTTCTATATTTGATCTTTTCTCAAATTAGCAACTCCAGCACATTCAGATTTATCACTTTTGTGTCAATGCATCTTGTCTGAACAGGGCAGAGAACAGCTCACCGAAGAAGGAGCAAGTATCCATTTCCACTAACATTTTCCTCTTCAATGCAAATACCCAGCACCAGATCTCAGCCTTCCCTAGCTTTTAGAGCTCTTAGCTTTCAGAAGACCTAAGAATACTCCCATATAAATACTTTTGAAAAGTGCTTTATTTATACACAACATTAAAACAAACCAAACACCTCCCACACAACATGGGAAGCTACAGCCACTCTTCCACGATGATTATTCAAAACACGTGGCTCCTCTCAAACCAGATCAGAAAGTGTTTGTGCTAAAGTTTCCAGTGCATGTAAACCTTTGTGAGTTTCTGCAAAAGCCAAAGGGCTGGAGGCAGAGCCCAGTCCCCCAGATCATCATCACTGCTGTGTTAAGGCCATGTGTTTTTGAAGCTTTTCCCTCCCCACTCCACTCCCTTTCTCCTGCTGTCTGGTAGGAGCTGTGGGGTTGCTGCCCTGGGACAGCAGACCTAGCAGGACATACTGGCCTTTCTTCCATGCCTTCAAGTAAATTTCAAATGCTCTGTCACTCCTTAGTCATCGCTGGCTGTCCCACATGAGACTGACTTTGGCCAGCAGTCAGACATCAGTGCAGGTGGCAATTGTGACTTCCCCTGGCACAGTCTGGCTGAGAAGCCACTGACCACAGCCCCACCCTGTGACAAGTCAACTGCTTCAAGTAACCCTTGACAGAAAAAAGACTCACTGCAAACCAAACCACGACAGCTCCAGTGCAGTCTGTTAGTAACGGACACGTTTCTACCACAACCTGATTTTTAGTTTAAGTACTCTGTCACCAGCCACAATCCCTGGGCTCATCAGTAGCTCCTTTTCCAGCCCCTGCTGTAGCTGTGTGTCACCGACACTGCACACCTAATGCTGTCATCCTTCACCAGCGTCCACATGATCCACATCTCTGTTGGGTTCAGTCTGTGCACAACCATCAGCTCTTTGTACAAGCACGGATCGAAAGGATTGAAAGGTCTCTGGATCCCAAAAGTCTTAAAGCCAGCGTGGTTCTTTGGGGTCACTGACATCTTTGCCAGACACATTCCCACAAACACATCATCTATGGGGAAGAGCTCCATGTCCTCTGCGGTGCTTTGGAGGCGATGCACTGTCTCTCTGGACATCACATATCCCCCTCCTCCTGCATAGAGAGGATAGAAGGTGGCTTCATACATGGGCTCTGGAATGAAGTATTTGACCTTGGTGTTCCTGATGGGCCGGGCGTTGGCGATCACGTCCCCAACAAAGAGATCCTGTTCAGGGTCCAGCTCCTGGAGGAACTCAACGATGTTGTAAGTGTTGACAAACACGTCATCATCGCCCTTCAGCACGAACCTGGCGTGCCGGCAGTCCTCCGTGAACCAGCGGAGGAAATGCAGCTCCTTGAGGGTCAGGTTGAAGAAGTCATCAACAAAATCCCACTGCAAGATGTCATCGAACTCCTGGCTCTCATAGGCCAGCAGCTGGTGCAGGGGCTGCAGCTGGATTTTGGTCTCGGAGCGCCCTAGGAGGAACACCAGCCTGATGTGCCTGCCCCCGATGGACACCTCCTTCCCCCACGTGTTCCTGATGGCCACACGCCGGTCCACGTTGATGGGGGAAGACTTGATGGCCAGTAGGAGGAACATCTCTTTGCTACACCTAGAAGGCCTCAGCAGGACCGAGAAGTTCCTGCAATGCTTGTAGGTTAGGAAGACTCGGTGAGGCTCCGGGAGGGCGAGAGAAGAATTGGCAAAGGTCAAGTTTGGCAAACACTTGCTGTGCTCGGCGCTGTCCAGAACCGAGGGCTGCAGTCTGTGATCCACCACATCCACTTTCTGCTCTGCTGATGATGCTGCCAACCTCGCTTCCTTCTTCATGTAGAACACCCAAGCCAGCAGCGTGAATGAGAAGGTGTAAAGCACAAGGCTTTTAATCCTGGGATACATGGCAGCATCCGGCGCAGGACCAGCCCCGGCCGGGCAGATGAAGACGAGCCGTGCCCTCCCACCTTACCTGGGACAGGGACGTGTCTCGGTGCTTCCCCCCGGTTCTCACCAGGACCTGGAGCTGCCGGTGAGGACGGCCCAGAGCCCTCAGCCCCGCCGGGGCGCGCAGACCGGGCTGGAGCCGCCGCTCCACGGTGACCCCGCACGGCAGAACCCCCGCCCTGCTCTGCGGAGGAGGCTCCTCCGGGATTCACCGGGAGCTGCTGTTCCCTTCCCGATTCCCCGGGAGCTGCCTTCCCTCCCCGATTCACCGGGAGCTGCCACCGCCCCCGCCCCGCCCCGCCGCTGCCGAGCCCCGCCCGCGGGCGGAGGATGCGGGGGGTGGCACCGGCACCGGGGCAGCGTGTCCCCAGCACGGACACGCACCCTGCACCCCGCACACCCACCCAACGCCCCCTGCCCGCTCCAGCTCCAGCAGAAGCTCAGCACCAGCCACAGACCACCAGGAGCCCCGGGGCATCTCCCAGCTCTGGCGGTTCAGATAACCAGGCTCCGCGCGGCATTCCCGTGTGGTTTATTTCCACTCATGCTTCTGCTATGGACACATCATTGAGTCTTCCCCATGGCCACGTTCTCCTGGCTCTGGGTGCTGGCTGCCAAGGGCCATCGAAGCAGCTGCATCTGGAATCGAACTGTCAGCGGCACCGGCTGGAGCTCTTGACCCTCCTCCACTTCAGCAGTGTCTGTGTTTTTTCCTTTTCCTGCAGTAAGAAGTACATTTGTCACTGTCTTGAGAGAGTAAATGATCCTAAAAGCAGCAGTGTGCAAGGGTGTCAGCAGTGACTGGGCCTCAGCGGGAAATTGAATATGATTTTCAATGATAAGCCCAAAAAGCATCTTTAGGCTGGCAGTTGACCGGGGTGCAGCCTTTCTTTTTGTTGTGAAACTGCCCTAGGGCAAAAGAAAGATGCAGAAATAAATGATTTCAAGGATCCCAGAAAATCAAGTGTGAGGTAAAATGAGACCTACGTGAGACTACTTCTGAAAACATCCTTCAGTGTCTGGGCAAATGGTTGGCTTGTGACAAAGCCTGCTGCCTTTCCTCTTTGAGCAGTCTGGAAGTGATCCCAATTCCTCTGAGAAGACTTATTATTTGTGTGCATTTGCTGACTGAGGGATGCAAATCAGCCTCAGCTCCCGGCTGTGAGAGTGCCAGTCCCTGCACAGCCCTGCTGGACACACTGGGAGTCATCCTCTGTCCCTCGGGGCATGGCCACTGTCACAGCTCCAAGGGCAGTCCCCAGGTGATGTGCAGGTGTCAAACACCCCGGAGCAGCTGGCAACTCACAGAGCAGACACTGAGCTCAGCAGGGCTTGACCAGCCCCCCACAAAAGCCACAGCTGGGGTGTTCTGGTGAGTCACAGCCATGAGACAATGGGTGTAGCAAGTTGTGGGGCAGCTCATCTTTAGGCACTGTGAATTTTGCACTCACACTTTGAAATATGCTCTCAGTGGTCCCACAGTGCAGCCAAGCCAGCCCCCACCTGCACAGGCACAGGGGGACACCAAATTAAGCACAAATCTCTAACTGCTGTGGGTTTCCTGAAGCAGCAACCCTTCTGTGCACACAATAACACTTTCACCTTTGTTGAAGCTGAAGGGAAACCTCCTGCATGCACTGACTACACACCAGGGAGGGGAGGAAGGAAGAAACAACCACTGCTGAAGCTGAGCTGTTTGATGGCAGCTGCCTGTTTCAGCAACAGGCTGAGTGTACATTGCAAATACACATCTTCTTGTGGGGGACAGCAATTCAATGAGTTTTCTTCTTTTCAGGTTGCTAGGGGAGGCCACCAGCTTCTGTGAATGCAAACACAGCCCAGGACTGCAGAGCTCTGAGAGCCCCCCCAAAGATGGGGACCTTGTTGTGGGTGACAGGGCACAGGAAAGCAGCCTGGAGCTCCGGGTTAATTGCACCCTTAAATCTGATGCCAGAGCAGGAAAACAAAGCTCCTTTGGTAGCTCTGAGCAGTGCTGGGAGGCCTGGCTCTCTCCCTGCCCTCCTTGACCCACGAGCAGCTTTTCAGAGTTGCTTGGCCACCCGTTCCCTCTCCCACTTCCTCCCGCTCTTGCATTACCCCTCCGATGTGCTGGCACTGCTATTTTTGCAGTCAGAACCAAGATTGATGGAAAAATAACCTGCAAAAGGCAGGATGAGGTTTGCAGATTAAGCAAGATTAAGCAAGGCTGCTGCTCTGCACTGGGGAGGCAGGGGACACACCCGGCGGGGTCGGGGTGGTCTCTTGGTGGGTGACAGCAGACTTGGATCTGTTCCCAGCCCTGCCATGGGCTGGCTGGGGCACCTGGGGCTCTCTGTGCATCTCATCCCTGAACCAGAGAGAACAATAATCCCCTCTGCAAAGAGCTGGGAGATGCGAGCTGGCAGTGAATGAGGAGCTCATTATGCATCCCAGGCAGCCCTTGCCCGGCTGCCCGCCCACGCCACCGCCCACATTTGGCAGCCGACACAGTGGGCAGCACTTTTCTCACCCAAAAATCTGCTTTGCCCTTCTCCCCTGGCACAGGGTGCTGTAGGTGTGAGTCTCCCAGGGCAGCTGGCAGCCCACCCTGGCTGCTTGTGCAGACACCGACTCGCAAAGAGTCCAGGCTGTGTCTATTCCGAGAGCCCCGCAGTGAATGTCTGTATTCACAGCCCGAGGCTCAGGATGTGAGTAAGTCCCTGCTCCTGGAGCTGGCAGGGTGGCCGGGCCCTGCTCCTGTTTGCTTTCTCACACACCCCGCCCTCTGTCACCTTTGGTTTTCTGGCTGGTCTGGTCTCCTTTCTCTGCTTTGGGCTTTTTGCTCTTGTCTTTGCCTTTTTTTACCTCCTGTGGAGAGAGATGTTTCCAGAGTAAGGCAGTGTTGAAACTCACTGCCCTCCTTCAGTCCTGTGCCAGCTGTCATCATCTGGGTGCTGTCACTGGGATTTCAGGGGCAGGGGACAGAGGTGAGGGGGAGCAGGAGCACGGCAGAGTGGCTGCTCAGAGAAGAGAATCCAGGAAACAGAAAGGTGGTACAGCTGGTATGTGCTGCCATGCTGAGAGAGAGCACCAGAGGAAGCATGTGTGGCTGCTTACACATTCTGGAAAGGAAAAATAAACTCATCTATTTTCCTAGGCCCAGAAAAAGTAGCAGAATTAATAATGCTCACTAATATCAGCCTTAAATAACCACACCAACAGCAATGGATGGTGGTCAGGCAGGGCTATTTCAGCCCCATTTTGAGGAGAGGAGAACTGAGGGAGGGAGGGATGGATGGATGCCCAGGCCAGAGAAGGCATTTGCTGAACCCCAGGCTGCAGCCCTGCCCTGGGACATGCTCCTTACCTTCTCCTCCAGAACTGGTGGTTTCTCAGGGATCAGGATCCCAAAGTCACACACAGTTGCCACCAGGTCCTTGGTGGCCAGCAGGGTCTCCAAGGTCACCTTCGTGGTGCGCAGGGTGCTCCGAATGGGAGGGTCACTGCGGAATTCATATGACTTCTTCTTCTTCTTTTTCTGTTTGTCCTTGGACATGGGGACAGGTCTCAGCAGAAGGCTGGGGTCTCTTATCAGAGAGAAGCAACCCCAACCCTTGCCCACCACTGCATCCTGGCCAAGGTGCTGCTGATTTCCCCCCACAGAAAGGGGGGACTGTGGGAGAGGTCTGACTCTCTGACACAGCAGACTGACCCAGGAGAAGGGCCCTTGTTCTGCCATCACTGTTTCTGCAACTCAGATAGAATTTGGTCATTGTTCTCTCCTGGCACCCTACCTTTGCACTGTTCTTCTTCAGCTCCTGTCCTTCCTTATTTGTGACAGCATTTTCTTCTGGATCCACAGGCCACAAGAGCACCTGCCCAGAGAGAGGAGCTGGCCCAGGGTCACTGCCATCCCATCCTGCCTCCCAGAGGGAATTGTGATACCACTGGCTAGGCCTACCAGCAGCTCTTCCCCCTTCATCCAGCTCAGCCACACCCTCACCTTCTCCTCCACAACAGAGACAATGGTTCCAGCCTCCAGGTACGACTTCAGCCCCACCAAGTCCTTGGCAATGTGTTCCTTCCTGTAGCTGCAGTCGATGGTGTCTGCCCAGGGCTGTCCAAGGGTGGAAAATACCCTCGCTGTGTAGGGATGCAAAAAAGTTGTGAGGAGACCTCTCTTTCCCAGAAGGACCCCCAGGACACAGCTGGTGCCAGGTCATTATCCATCAGTCCCAGGAACAGCCCAGCTGGCACTGCGAGGGGCATCCTGATGCCACCACACCCCACAAAGAGCTATAAACCTGCCCTGAGATGTGGAACAGAAGATCTATCATTCCTCATTACCAGAGTGGGGCTTGGGCTCCTCTGTGGCTGCAGGCTCCTGATGGCTCTTTGTTTCTCCTGTGTCCTGAGCAGAGCTGTCCACATCCAGCGTGGCCACTGTGGGACTCTGGTGGATTTCTGTTCCCTGGAACAGACGGATTTGTCTCCAAAATCCTATTCCCCAGCCCACCCTCATGGGAAGAAGGGACTTCAGTGCCAGGGAAAGGGTCTGCCACAGTCAGTAGGAGAGGGGCTGTGAGTTCCCTCCCACATGCAGAGAGCTCTGGGCTCCCTAAGAGGGATGTGGAATGTGGGTAGCTGGATGCAGCCACATGGGAATTCTGTCCCCAGCACTGCTGCTCCCCACACCAGGCCCATCACCCCCTATCCTGGAGATGCAGTTCCCCTTGCTGTGACCTGTCTTGCTGCTTCTTTCCAGGAGCATAATCAAGCACCAACCTCAGGACTGCCCTTGTCCTCAAGCTCCTCTCCCTCTGCAAACTCGTAGGTCACACAGTAGTTGTAGGTGATCATTGGACCCTCGGAGCCATCCTCCAGCTGCTGAAAATCTTCAGGATTAGGGAGTCCTTTCATCTCTCCAATGCTCACAACCACTCGTGCTTCACTCCTGATCAGCTCTGAAAGGAAAACAATCCTGCCATGAAGCTGCAGCACCTCCCTTCCAGAGAGAGGAAGGAAGAGAGCAAGCAGAAACCTCCAGGTCTCATGTCCCACCTGCTGGCATCCCTCGGTGCCAGCCTGTCCAAATGCTGTGACAAACCACTGCCACGTGGCGTCACTACAAAGCCACGCAATCACCTCCTGGCTTGGCTGCTCTGCTCCTTCAACGTTTGACTCTCCAAAAAGCACATCCAGCACATAAACTCATTGAGTAGGGGCCACCAAGAGAGGTTTCCCATCCCAGGTGTTCCCAGCCTCCTGCTCTCATCCCAGTGAGGGATGTGCCACAGAGGTGGCACCGCTGTGTGCAGACAGTGCAGCCCCACGTGAGCACCTTTCCCAGTACTGATGTTCCTCTTGCCACAGCTTGGGAGGGAAATCCATGATCTGAAACCAGATGGTGTCTGGGAAGAAAAGCTGAGGAAGGCCAGGACACTGAGGCA